GGGCAACAAAGTGAGACTCTGTCTCAAAAATATAAAAATAATAAATAAATAAAAATGCCACTTTCTTCATTGGCTGAGACCAATTACAAATTTCAGGGCAAGGAAGTTTGTTAGTGCAATCCATATGGATCAGCTCCTGGGACATAGAGCAAGGAAGAGAAAAGTAAAGAATGGATCTAGAAGAGAAAATGGAAGATATTCAGTGCAAACACCTTTACTCATACTTCCTTAAGTATTTCCCATCTGACTAGCAAATTGGTTTTCTTTTTTTTTTTCTTTTTAGAGACAGAGTCTCACACTGTCACCCAGGCTGGAGTGCAGTGGTACAGTCATAACTCACACTGTACTTGCCAAAATTTCATATACACTAAATTTCACCTCCTCTGGTAACCTCTGGGATTTGCCCTTTGAAAATGAAGTATATATTTTTGGACATAAGAGTAAGAAAGAAATGAATCGGCTAGTTCTAGGTCAAGTTGTTTGCATTCTCCAGTAGACCCAATTTTTGAGAAAGAAAAAGATTTGAAGAATATAAAAATGGAGGCCAATTCAGTCCAATATTCAGCAAACTTTAGAAAGCCACAGCGCATGATTAGATACAGAGAATTCAGTATGCTTCTGAGTCAATCGATGATTTCAGGGAAGTCATCTCTTTTGTAAAGCTTAAGAAAATTCTCAGTTGAGAAATAATTCAAAGACAAATAAAAAAAGAGAAAAGTTTAAGAGAAGATGAGGCGGCCAGTCAAGGTGGCTCATGCCTATAATCCTAGTACTCTGGGAGGCCAAGGTGGGAGGATCACTCAAGGTCAGGAGTTCAAGACCAACCTGAGCAAGAGTGAGACCCTGTCTCTACTAAAAAAATAGAAAGAAATTAGCTGGACAACTTAAAATATATAGAAAAAATTAGCCGGGCATGGTGTAAGCGGGCAATGGTGGCACATGCCTGTAGTCCCAGCTACTTGGGAGGCTGAGGCAGGAGGATTGCTTGAGCCCAGGAGATTGAGGTTGCTGTGAGCTAGGCTGATGTCATGGCACTCACTCTAGCCTGCACAACAAAGTGAGGAGACTCTGTCTCAAAAAAAAAAAAAAAAAAAAAAAAAAAAAAATTTCCATTAGTGATGAGATGTGCAAGCTAGAAAAAGGGCAGTTGCTCTTCCCTTCTTCATTTCCATCTCAAAGATTATAGCTAACTTTTGTGTAAGTCTTTAATACTTTTATATTGGTTAGAAGCTTCCCCTGTTCTTTTCCTATAGTAGACATTCTTCAGTCTTTAAAGTTTGTTTCTATTTTCTTCCTTTTTTTTTTTTTTTTTTTTTTGAGATGGAGTATCACTCTGTCACCCGGGCTAGAGTGCCTTGGCGTCAGCCCAGCTCACAGCGACCTCTAACTCCTGGGCTCAAGTGATCCTCCTGCTTCAGCCTCCTGAGTAGCTGGGACTACAGGTGTGTAACACCATGCCTGGCTAATTTTTCTATTTTCTATTTTTAGTAGGGACCAGGTCTCACTCTTGCTCAAGCTGGTCTCAAATTCCTTACCTCAAGCTATCCTACCGCCTCTGCCTCCCAGAGTGCTAGGATTACAGGTGGGAGCCGCCACGCCGGACCAGCATCTCTTTAAAGTTTTTACCTTTGAGGCCTCATCTTTTCTTTCTTTCTTTTTTTTTTTTTTTTTTTTTTTTTTGAGACAGAGTCTCACTCTGTTGCCTGGACTAGAGTGCCATGGTGTCAACCTAGCTCACAGCAACCTCATACTCCTGGGCTCAGGCAATCCTCCTGCCTCAGCCTCGCAAGTAGCTGGGCATGCGCCACCATGCCCGGCTAATTTTTTCTATATATTTTAAGTTGTCCAGCTAATTTCTTTCTATTTTTTTAGTAGAGACAGGGTCTCACTCTTGCTCAGGTTGGTCTTGAACTCCTGACCTTGAGTGATCCTCCCACCTTGGCCTCCCAGAGTACTAGGATTATAGGCATGAGCCACCTTGACTGGCCGCCTCATCTTCTCTTAAACTTTTCTCTTTTTTTATTTGTCTTTGAATTATTTCTCAACTGAGAATTTTCTTAAGCTTTACAAAAGAGATGACTTCCCTGAAATCATCGATTGACTCAGAAGCATACTGAATTCTCTGTATCTAATCATGCTGCCGTGCTTTCTAAAGTTTCTGAATATTGACTGAATTGGCCTCCATTTTTTTATATTCTTCAAATCTTTTTCTTTTCCTCAAAAATTGGGTCTACTGGAGAATGCAACAACTTGACCTCAGACACTAGCCGATTCACTTTTCTTTCTTACTCTTATTGTCCAAAAATATGATACTTCATTTTCAAAGGGGCAAATCCCAGGAGGCTTACCAGAGGAGGTGAAATTTAGTGTATATGAAATTTTGGCAAGTACAGTGTGAGTTATGACTGTACCACTGCACTCCAGCCTGGGTGACAGTGTGAGACTCTGTCTCTAAAAAAAAAAAAAAAAAGAAAACCAATTTGCTAGTCGGATGGGAAATACTTAAGGAAGTATGAGTAAAGGTGTTTGCACTGAATATCTTCCATTTTCTCTTCTAGATCCATTCTTTACTTTTCTC